ACATAAGTGTAACACCACACACAAGTGTAACCCCACCCACCAGTGTAACCCCCACACAAGTGTAACCCCACCCATCAGTGTAACCCCACCCACCAGTGTAACCCCACACACAAGTGTAACACCACACACAAGTGTAACACCACACACAAGTGAAACACCACCCACTAGTGTAACCCCACCCACCAGTGTAACCCCGGCCACAAGTGTGACCCCAACCACCAGTGTAATCCCACTCACGAGTGTTACCCCAACCCACAAATTTAACCCCACCAAACAGTGTAACCCCACCCACAAGTGTTACCCGGGTAATACTAGTAGGTGATGTTACAATAGTGGTTGACACTAGGTCACATTAAAGGAATGTTACAGTTGTTACCATGCTCCTATTTCTACCAATGAAATTTCAGTACTTAATAAGAACTAGTTAACAATCTCTCCGATCGTGATACTTTCATGGGTCTAATGGGATGAATATCGCATATTATAAGGGACAGCTTACCATTATAGACCCCACGTTTTCCCTCTTGTTTTGCCTTCTCCTCTTTTTTTTCTAACATTGATTTTGGATTACGTCCTTTGTGTAGTGACGATCAGGTATAACTTTCTGCTTTACTTTGTGTTAAACATTTCCGGAATGTTTGCAAAAGCAATATTGAATGTTTAATGTCTTCGATGCAGTCAAGATGATAGTAAACAATAATAATTATACATTAATTGCAAGAACAAACATGTAAAAAACAATACTTTGAAAAATCGTGGAATACTGTGAATCAGACCGGTGCGATTTCACTGAATATATAGTGTTCAGTTAAAATAGGCTTATCAGTTTGATGTGAGGTACGAACGTTCGCAGAGACTCCAGTTGAATCAAGTCAGTAACAATGTCTATCGCGACTACGTAGATGTACAAACTTACCTACGTGGACATTTATGTTTGGAAAATGACGAGATAAATAACATTTAAACGTCAAAATCATGTCTATCAGTAATAACTGAAGTTCCTATATTTAGTAGATTGCCATAGTACAAATGAAACACCTATCTGAAAACTGTGTGTACAGATAAGTATACGGAATCCCTAATATTTAAAAAAAAAACACCACACACACACACAATGAAATAACTCAAAACAAAGCACTAAGAGGATGATGAAGAAAGATCAATCGACCGTACTTTGTGTATTCCACCTCGTATGTACGCGTAAACAGCC